AGTCAATACATTTTTTAGAATAATTTATACATAAATAATTTTTTTAATACATAGTAAGAAAATAATATATTTGGTGTAGTGAATGAGTGGGCCTGGGCTAGAGTAATTAAAGTGTGCCCGATAGATCGTCAAATTATTCTCTCTTTGGGCATATACGTGATAATGTCCTTTTATTATTTTTTGATAGGTACTTACGTTAGGTTTACGACTATAGATGCCATCAGATATATATGAAATAGGTTTTCAACATTATTATTTTTCTTTATACATTCTATTATCAACCAAAAGTTTCGTATAAGTTAAGTTTTTACGAGTCGTGCGAAACGTGTGTACATATAAAATRTTGAGTATTAATCTATACATTATATATTATTTATATTTTAGTAACAACTGCCATTGGTACTATCAAATGTATAGTATATCCCGTTATAGTAGATCATGATAATACATTTTCGTGAAAGTTCGACGTTTTTCTGTATCGAAATGTCGCGTAATGGATTGCGTTTAAAGCAGAACGATAATGTATTATAAAAACAGAACAACTCGAGCAAACAGGTAGGTTTAAACTACAAACATTATGATATGTATATTACACATATGCTTATGGTGAAGTAAGCTCGCAGGTAAATGGTTTACATTATAATATAATACCGTTGTATAAAATAGTTAGTTGCTATAGTAGCATAGACAGGATCTTAAATAATTAGAAGATTACATTTTATACAAACGTAGATAGAMGGTTTTATAAATTAAATGTAATAATTTTATTTCGTTACAAAAAAATATTTTATATTCAAACAATTAAACRAATTAAGTTAATTACATTATGTAATTAAACGAGGAATTATAAGTTTAATAACCAAGTAAAGTAAGTAAGCAATTGTATCATAACTGACAGAAAAAATCTACACTTATTTCCCATGATCCAAGATGAGTTAAAAAAATAATGCTAAGTAAGATTTTGCACGTAGACTATTCAAGAGACACCGTGAAAAATAATACAATTCTTAGTAATAAATAATTTAATTTATTGAATAAACAATTTTAAAGAAAATGTTAATTTAGGGCCACTCAACCGTGGTATATTTTATGTTTATCCTGATGGTGACATTCGTTGTAGAAATACACTGATGCAGAGTATAGACTTTATATAAATATAATATTATGATGTGGATATCACGCCGGAGAACGTCTATTTAACTAGCACGATCGTCGTGCATAATGTTATATTCAGTGTAGTGTGTTTATCTTTTCGCTTTCACCCTCCACCGCCGTATCAATACCATTGCCGTTTCAAAACATGCTCATCCTTCCTCTTTCGTCCGGCGTGGTGGTACGTCGTCTCTTGCAAATACCACCCAGAAAGAATCCGCATGCAAGCGTTTACCGCGCTGTCAAAAGGCTATAATCCGCTGGGTTTSGATTTCAATCTCGAAATGGAGATGAGTACCGCCGCCGCTGCTTGTCGCGTTTAAACCCCCCTTGGAGGCGAATCGAATGCTTTTTAAAAAAATAATCCCCCCAAGGAATAGGAATATACGCTATAGCTCGTGTGTGTGTGTATGTGGGCGTACAACTGAAATAGGCACTYGGGCGATAGACGAATGGATCGTTGTGTGGTGCGGAGGAGACGAAAAAAAGCCGCAAAAGGCCGACGTAGCCGAGACGCGAATGACAGATGGGCGGGTGGCAGAACCGATGATATAGAATGAAGCGGAGAGTTGATTCTTTTCCCACTCCATTACCGCGAGTGTGCATGTGAGTGTGTATTTGTGTGACCACCAGCCGTATATATAAATATATTATATYATAGTGATTAGATCGACGATAACTGACGCACGAGCGGGGTAGCCCATAGTCAACTGCCAAGTAAAATGCCGGAGGAAAAAAAACATGATAGCTTATAAAAAACCATTACCTATACCATAACCTACCCGTTGTACCTTATATACTGGTACGACGAAGTCGGTTGTTTCGAATGTATGCGAACAACGAGTAAAATAATATAATGGTATTATATGCCATTTTTGAGTTTGCTAACCGTCACACACTAATTACTTTTTTTTACGTGGTATTTAATCTAGTTTTATTGTAAAGCTTTTTTACAGTATCTAGCATATTTATATTTAAAAATATACATTTACAAACCTAACATGTTAGGTTAGTAGGTTCTAGGTACATATTACGCATCTTGTATAGGTAGTTTCTTTTAGGAACAAATAACTGTTACTTACCACGCAGTATTGTAACTAGGTAGGTAAAATAATGTCGTGACTAGTGACATAATATTATTTTCAACTATTACATTTTTGAAAATTTCGTGTACAATTGTATTTAACTGGTTAATTGTTTTTTTCTTCGTGAAAGCTGTGTGTGTCTGTGTCAACCGGCCGTAATCAACAATAATAATATTGCATTGATGATGTAGACGTTCCACGTACGGTATAGTTGACTTTTGAAAGAAATGTCCAAGGAAACGAAATTACAATAGTTTAAGAAACCATTAAACTATATAAACTTATATAATATATATATATTGTACTTATCTGGAAAAATGAAAATAAATTTAGTCATTTCTTTGGTAAAATAAATATAAAGTTGTCAATTTGCCATATATAATTATCGTATGCTGTGTAAATTTCCGTTTACTTGGAAAAATCATTTTGGATTGACACGCGATTTTTTTTCCAGCCAAAGAATATTGTGTTATTTAAATACACCATATTTCTTGCACTAGGTTTGATCGGTTATGTTATGATTTCCATGTAAATTTGAGTACCCCTTTTTGTTTACAAAAGTTTGTCTATCTGATCGATTAGTAATTTATTTACACTTCAGGCATGTGATTCAGACTATATAAATCGTAATTATAATTATTGTGAATGCAAAWAGTTCTCTTTGACTATCATGTAATGCGGTGTAGAGTTTTCACAAGTGTTTTAGTAACATTTTCGGAAGTAAGACTTTTAAAAAWACGCATTTAATGGAGGCAATGAAAAAAAGGATCTTACCTTTTCCAGCCGGGTAAACAGTTCCGGTTACTCTTTGACAGCCATTGAACCTAATGGTGCTCTAATAGTGCTCTTTGAGTATATGTGTTCTTTTAGCAAACGTTAAACACGATTTTCGGAAAAAATCTTATKCTACCATAAACTTATAGTCAAGACATATTCACATTTTTTCAAAASATCTAAAAATCGAACATTATGAAGCATACGTCTTTTAGCTGTAAGCTAACAGTTAACTTTCAAYTCTATAAAGAAGATAATCTCTAGTTTTTAAATATCTATACGAGTTTTTGTTTGAATGGTAAATTACTTATGCGTGTTAACTTTTTGAAAAGTGCACGTGCTCGTTAAAAAAAAAATGTTWTAAAAATATACAACTGATCATGTAAATAGATCTACAACGGATAAGAATTGCAYTAAAAAATAAAAATTTTAGTATTCAAAAAAATACGTRTTCACTAGATTTATACGACTATGCAAATTCGTCTGTATCATTGTTTAGCCCTCTTGAATTTGAAATAGATTCGAACAGCATAGTAACGACAAAAAACTATTCGAACATTGTGACATTCAACATTTCAACAATATTGATTTACAATGAGAAAATAATATTATGTGGCATTGTAGCCGTAGCTCTGTTTTCCTTTCTCATGAAATGTACAACTTCAATTTTTTATAAATGTTTCTAGAAATCGTGAATAATTTATATGTACTCATTAATAGTAATATAACCAATTCAATATTCTTATTCTTCTGATGTTATTCTTAATGATATTTGTATATTTAAGCGKATTTTAATAAATGTAATAAAGTTGTGATTATTATTGTCACAAGCATACAGTTATATATTTTCGGTGACATCTTTCATTGAGTTTTCACAAAAAAACTATATGTATAATCTAATAAAATAATGAGCTRTACAAATTGTGTTATATAGAAACATAATAATATCGTAAGTACCTATTTAATAGTGACTATTCAATTTAGCTACTGCTTATATATTAAACGTTTATAATATTTAGTATTTAATATTTATTAAATACTGTTATATTGAAGAATTGAACTGCAGTAATYCGTATTTAATTGTTTTCTTTTTTAATTATACTCAGAGTTATGTGTACGAAAGTAGACAAAAACATACATTTCGTGTAAGTTATATATGAGTGAGAATGCTGAGATTAATATACGTGAATTTTGTACAGCATAATATAGATATATATACAGAGTGTCCCGTGAGGATGTACCCATTATTCGTAGAGGCTGACTCGCTTCCCGGATAAAAACCAGTTTTTCACGTTTTCTCCATTAAGTAAAAAACAATTATAAAAAACATGAAATTAATGAAAATAAAATATTGAAAGGTCAATATTTTCAGCAAAATAAACTCAATGTGCCTTTATTTTTTTGAAAAATTAAAATTAAAAAACTTTTTTATCAAAAAATTAAATTAAATTAAAAAGTAAAATACATGTAGCCCTTGTCTATGTGAATCTAATAAAAAAACATATTTATCATCTCAAGAGATATAGTAATCGGTAAATCCTTGCGGGACAAGTCTGTATACATTTATTAATATATACATATTATATATAATATATATATATATATATAATGTATGTTAAGATAGTATTTGACATTTCATACGGGATACTAACGCCAGCTTATATATTTTTCATATTGTCGCTTCTACCAAAAATACTATCCCTATTACTTCGAATTTGATGAAAATGGATTTTTTTTCGAAATAAATAAAATGTTACRGCAATAAGCATGGATTTCGGCAGTAATCGCCACTTCTTTAGAGAACCATTAAAATATTCCTTATGTGCATATTTTTCTATTTGGTTCACTTAACATCTTTAAAAAAACATGAAATTACGATAATATTTACATCTGCACAAATTATACTATCGCATTACAATGTTTCAAGTTTTAAGTGTAACGTGGTTATTATTATAATTAATAATCAATAAAAATCGTTTTGATGTTTAGATTCAGCTTTATGGTTACAACACTGATCTTTATTCAAATATGTCTGAAGCCCAAATGAAATCTCAAGGAATCGTTGGTGTATCACTTATGGTCCAAGTGAGTACTGATAAACATTCATTAATTTATAATTGTATGCCTTCTTAATCATTTGTTTTAACCTTCCAGATTGGACAGACAACAAATTCAGAATTCCAAATGGTCACCAACGAGTTTGGAAAACTTTTGTACAAAGGTAAGAAATATTAATATACTTATACTWTTCATACTAACACCTATACTATCATGGTAAAGATAAATGTTATTTAATTTTCAAATCATCAATTTCCGTGTTTTGATGTGTTAAATAATAATTTAAAAATGAAACCTATTGCTATAAATAATTCGTCAAAGCAGTATTTAGTTGTAGTAATACCAATCTAATCGAGCTTAWATAGTGCTCAAATWAGGKRGGTGGGAGGTACAGGTGAACCAAGTCCGCTTTTATTGTTTTGTAGATTTCAGTATTCACATTAATTTAATTAACTGARGGATGCTAAAAAATTGTCACCCAGGAAATGCCATTTCGAATGGTGTATTAGGATTTTGTTTTCATTAATTTCTAGCAAAGTAATGGTTATTTTTCCCAAGGAAACAGATATCGTTAACGGCAGACAACTGTTCCAATAATATTATAGCTAGAAGTTGCCTACATACATAGTTATTGACTTGTCCTATATATTTTATTTTCATAATTTTGTAATAAAAAATCGTCGTCGATGATGATTACTAATGGTAAGAAATAAAATAAATCAGTAGGTATAATGATATTATTTTTATTTGATTATTTTACGTAATCGCAGAACCAATTTCGGATGGATTTACGGCAACGTACGTCAGAATGTCACATACTATGAGTCACTTAACTATAATGTTATAATGTAGTTATATAATTATAAACTAGAATAATTATAATGTAGTTGTGTTAGTTATTTAACTTTTTACGTGTTATACTTTGTCCACCGTTGATAATTGTATAATTTATCTGTTATTAAACGCTACTTTCTGAACTTAAATCAGTGTCCGCCCTCAGGTTTTGTTCCAAATTCAAGCTCTACCTGTATGGAAAAATAATTAACTGAAATTATTACTTACAAAATATTAAAACTGATCAGCAAACAGTTTAATTATACTAATAAGTTTGAAAAATAAAATCATGTGCATAATCACAAATTAAAAATGTATGCATGCAATATCCATTTAAATAATTTTAAAACATTTAGCTGTCTTATTGTTTTTCTTTAATCTATATCAATAATATCTGTGAAATTATCGTATTATATTGTGGCAACTTAATAATTATGAATTCGTTAAAGTCAATATTGTTGATTCATATCTACATACTACATAGTATATGTTATAAAATGCTGATTTTTTGATTGAAACCGCAATTTTATTACTAAAACGTAGGTARAAAAATACTAATATTTTTCGGTGCGTATCGTTTCTAATTTTATTTTCATTTTTATTATTTCGGTAAAATTATTTGTACGAGCTGATTTAGTAGGAGTTAGGCAGATAAATACGGCATTACATCGTCCTTAATTTTAAGTACAGCTCTAAAATCACTTTACAGTCACTTAACGATTTCAGCTTTAATGCGAACGTGCTTTTGTCGTGTCACGTGTGTGAAAGACAATGACAACAAACTGCGCGGTGCTAAGTCATTTTAAAACTTTGTTTTTGTCTTGAATACCACTAGACGCACACATTTGTACATGTATACGTGTATACCTACTTATACCTATATGTTKCGTGATACGAAACGCGTAAAACAATTATTTAATGTGATATTTTTAGATGGTGAACATTTAAAATACAATAAAAATATCTCAACAGAAGCGGGTGAAAAATCAATGAATAATGTACTACGCTGTGTTCTATATATTATTATAAAGGCGTTATAAAATATTATTCGAATAGGTTTTATTTGCATTGAGTTACAAGTTACRATGGAAATAATCACACTGCTGACGCAAAATTGCAATATAGTATCGCGTTCAGATTGTTACCTAACAAATTAGTTTCTTCCATGGTACTATGTTTTTCTGCGTTGTCGTACAGTTTTCACAGTTGTTTTAAAACATGATTACTTAGTGAAAGGATTTAAGTTTTACTGGGTTATTCAATAATACAAAACCTGTTTGATAAAGTACAATTAAAATAAAGTCGTTGTTAGTAAAATATCATGAATCGATATTTGAACATTTCTCAGAAATATGAATGAAACGAAACGAATTTATTTATTTTCTTTAAACTCGATTCACCCCACTTTAACTYCTTTTTTATGAAAATATATGAATGAATTCGTTTTAAATATTTATTTCGTGAATTCCAAACATTTTACTAAACACAAGTTAAAATTCGTCGAGAGTGTCGTATATACGASAAATCCGTTTTTATTACAGTATGCCGTAATGAAATATTTGGCGTTCTAGACTTTAGACAACCTGAAACTTGTGTTTAGTTATGAGAATTTTTATTTTCAATTGATATATATATATATATATATATATAATTTTATAAAAAGTTTGGATTTGAATTTGTGTAAATACTTTTATTGGTTATATCTACCTATATTATAAACATTTATAAAGTAAATTCTCTACTTTTTAGTAAGGTTACAATAAAGGACATTTATACTGTATTTTATTATTAGTTTTATAAAAATCAATACATAAATAATTATTTTGATTTTTATAGGTTTAATCCACACTTCATAGTAGATGAACCTACATTATTTGTTATTATTTGTTTAGTCGCATCGTTTGAAGTACTTTTGAACAATATAGTTTTTTGGCTGTATAATATTTAGGTATTGTTCATTTAACACAATTTTCTGAATTCTCAAATTGGTTTTCTATTTTTTATTATCTGAAGTAATTATTCGAATTGTAAATAAATATTACAAAAAAGTGCATTTTATTTAAAAATAAAAACTATAAGCTTAAAAAATATGGTAGGTAATCCAAAAAAATTAAAATATTTTAGTTTCTAATGATATTAAGTAGGTACTAACTTTTCATTAAATGATACTTTAAATTATTAAAAATGTTAAAAACTACTAATTGAAAAACGATGGTACTAAACGCGTGTTTAAAAAATAAAATTATAGCAGCATGTATGACGAAAATCAAAGTTTTAGGCACACGCCAACTCTGTAAATAATTGTTGGCATTAAGTAAATCATAGCAAAGGGTAAACGTAAACGTGACACGTTTACGATTATTTTTAATACCCGATTATGTTCATGCGCATCGATAACCGTTTTAATTGTTTTTCAGTTAATTGGGTATTTCCTTTAAATCGCATACGTTATTCAATGTGAGTGCTTAAAATTTGTTTTAAACTTTAAGGTTATTACTTATATTATAAAGGTATTTCGGACCATGGTGTGCCAATGAAATTGATTGTTGTTGCGACGGTATAAGCAAATGATTAAACTTAATTTGTTTAGTCATAAACTTCGATACAACATTAAAATAAACGCTTTCAATAAAAAAAAAAAAAAAAATAAAGTTATACTCCAAATTATCTCTTAATCTTTATTTTAAGAAAAAATATAAATATTTCAAGATCACGTTTAATCATATTAAATTACACCAAAATAAACGTACTTACAGAAAGTTATTTACATATATTACACGTTTGTGTTTGTAATCTACCTAGTTTATTATATATTAGTATCTGTCAACTTTAATCCTTTCGAATGACTCTGAAAATGGAAGCTATTGCAATTGTTTGGTATCTTGAATGCTTGTTAAAAACAAATACAATTCACTATTTTAGTCCCATTTAAACGTAATATAAATATAGTATGTATATTAATTATGCTATGAAAACAACGCTTTCTTCCTCCATTCGAAAATGTAACGGATCAAAGATCTGGAACAAATATAATACTATATTATACGCCGTATGAGCAAATGACAATTTATCGTATGCATTATTATAATAGTCGACAGGGCAGAACGCAATTTATTTCTGTACTAATAATTGAATATGTCAACGTACATAATACCATTTCATATATAATATAATACACCGATGCCCTCGATTAATGTAGTTTAGATATTTATCCGAAATATTCGAATCTAAATAATGTAGTTTGTGAAATATCTAGAAGACTATTGTCCAAACGTACACTATTATACAAATATTTCAATAGCTGATTACAAACTCACTAATAATAATAATAATATTGAACTCTGTATAAAAAAAAAAAAACGTGATAAATATACGTAGGTGATTTATAGTATGCCCAGTTATTATGTTATTATTGTTTATATTCACTTAAATGATTATATGATGTCCAAGTGTATGGAATATTTGTAAAAATAGAGATGTATTTATGTTATGTGTACAAAATACATGTAAAATGTATGAGTGCGTTTTTAACACAATCGGCCCTTATAAAATTAATGATGTTTAACTTTCAGTAACGAAATATTAGACCCAAATATAACAAAGTTTGAAGTGTGCTCCACTTTGCAGGTTGACTCATTTGAGTTGTTGATTTGAACCAAAATTAACCAAATGTATTTGATTAGAATAATAATGATAGTAATAAATTAAAAAACTGGCCCATTATAGATTTGATAATAATGTTTTATGTCGTTTCAAATACACTTTTAAAATATACACATAGGGTGATTTTACAAATATAATAACCAGTAAACACTCTAATTTTTTTCTTATACAAATATAATTTTTTCATACAAGTACCTCATTTTTCTTACCGTAAATACATTTTCTAGTAGTTGATTTTCTTTTAAAATTGTATTGCACATAGATTAAAATTCAAAAAAGTAGTTTTGGTATTATATAATTTTATTTCGAAAAATTGTCGATGGTTATATATTATGAGAGCAATGATGATTAATTGCCTATTGCATTTTTTTTTATTAAAGTATCTTCTATAATTTTTTAATTTATAAAAGTTTTCTGAGTATAATATTTACTAGATTAAAAATTACATGTTTTGTATTTTATGTAAAACGAATTTTTATCTTTGGCATATAAATTAAGTAAATGGATTAAGAATTACACGATTTTAAATCTGATTTACATGCATTACATTTTTTTWAAATTGTATCAGTTTATTAATTTAGATTACAATATTTGATCATCGATTAAAAAAACAACGTTGTTTACTACAGAAAAATTTATTTAATCATTACATTTGATGATCTATGAAGTATAAAATGAAG